TCTTTAATTTAAATGTTCTTTAATTGATTTGGTGATCAAAAGTGTAGTTTTTTGGTGATCATTTCGATAGAAATAAATTTGGTGATCAAAAGTGTAATTTTTGGTGATCAAAACACACTTTCCTCTATTTGATCACTAAATGATAGTTGTAATTGCATAATATTTTGTTCAACTAATAAAAATTCGTCTTTATTTTTGATTAATGTTCCATGTCTACGAACTTTACGGACGACATGTGCCCAGCACATTTAACGACGTACTAATGGTAATTCACACATGGCACCCGTACTACCTGCTGCACCATCCCCTAAAACATGTGATATGATATATGCTTAATTATTGTCAGTCGATGCCAAAACTTGAATACCACGAAAAAATGTTTTGAATATTTCAGATGATTCATCTGACGCTATTAAACATACACCCATAGGATAAAATCGACGATTGAAATCTGATGTATCAAAGACTAATAATAGTAACTCGTTAGCTATGACTTTACATATACAATCAATATATAATACAGAGGAATATTTACATGTCAAAAGTAATTGACGGGTAGTTAAACAAATAAATGGATTATCTACATCCACAACTTCAAAATATGGTACGAAAATGTCATGTATTTTATCAGATGATGGGTGAGGGTCTCGAATCACCTAAATTCTGTCCCAATAACATATGTTAAAATGGGTCAAATCGGAGATATCAATTGAGCACCTCTCCCCGGATTCGGTCGTGGCTTACATGGAATGACTGATATTTTCTTTTATAAGTATCGTAGTTTTCTTAACGCCATAATAAAGTTTTGGATTGAAAAGAAGTGGAAAGAGAAAAGTATTGTTCTCGTTCTTCCTGTATAGTTAGTACACGCAGCACGTCAAAACTATATTCATATTTATCCAAAATTATATTCTTCGTTCTCATCGTAATGTTATCACCATTATCATCGAATGATGATGACAATGATTCAAATGTCATTGATTTATTCTATCACTTACGTAAAGAAAATGACATAGAAAAAGTTCGAAATATTTTACCATTTATTAGCAACATAAATATTATAAATAAAATTCAAAATTTAACTGATTCAACATGTTTATATGTGGCATATTATTATGGACATCGACATATGGCACAAATTTTATTAGAATATGGGGCTGTACATTCCATAAGAAATTTACGACATAATTTAACGCCCTATGAAGTAACTTATACAGATGATATAAAACAATTGTTTGTAGAATAACGAAAAACATTTTCAAATAATGATTATGATTATATTGAGTGGTCAATGGTAGGTGATGATCTCCTTGGAAAACGACGTGAATTCCGTCAAGCTATTGATTTATACAAAACCTATGAGAATCATCATTTGGTATCAAAATTATTAGCTGAAGTTATTCATTATTATTTAAATGAATATCTGATAGATCAAAGTAATGATACTATTAATCCGGAAGATCACTTGTAAACAAATTGAAACCATTGAAGCATATTTCAAAGAAGCTATAGAAAAACAAGATTATTTAACATATTTTATAAAAGCTTATACATTAACAAATTTTTTTTATAAAGTATTAAATAAGCATTTGGCTCTGTTAGTCAATGATGATGACCCGATGACTCATCAATTTACAGTCTATTTTTAATGTGGTGCTCTCTATCGGTTGACTGCACTGTCAGGCTCTAGCATTTGACGCACAGAAATTTTAAATCAAATTAATAACTTTTGCGTTTGAATTTATTTATAAAACACCGTTTGAATTTCTGCACCTTACTACGGCGATATTAAGTTTCGAAGTAAACGAAAATGGCTACAGATAAAGTGTGGAATAACTGTATAAATTTCTGCGTGTGTTATGATGGTTGGCGTTTCTTCTAACGTGGCTTTGAGAAGCTATGTCCGAACTATATAATTGTTTCTAGCGATCCTTAATGCTTATGAGATTAGGGTACTAAAAGTTGGGACCAAAAGTTACAGCTGAATTTAGTCCTAGCGTAAATTTTAATTCTGCAAAGGCTATCGATATTTTTACATTGAGACCTAGCTTTTTTCAATCCTTGCATACCCTGGCCCGTTCGCTACGTACTTTACGGTATCCGTATTCGATCTATGAATACTAGTGTAGTCTCTTTGTAGGTGGTGCTGTTTGTTCAGTTTACCTTCATTTGTTGTATATTAGAAAAAGAAGATAAGTAGTTAGAGATAGCCCGTGACGAACTTGACTAGAATGAATACGTTTAATGTGAAGTATACGAAGTGACAAAAGGGTGAATATTCTCATTTCCGTTCTTTTTCTTTGATTATTATGTCTCATTACGAAGAAGACTATTAATATAACTCAGTTCCATATGTTCTCACTCGGAAAAGACAAACTATATTATCACGGATTTATGGATGAGTATAGACGAAAGTATCGTGAATAAGACAAGTATAGCTGCGTTCGGCTAAACGTAATAATGAGCTTCTTACGTAAGAAACGTAATAACGTCAATTTCAGACAAGGACGAATAAGGAAATATAATAAACGTTTCTTTGTTCAAAATATATAAGATAAAATTATTGTGGTCTTCATTACATGTTACGTGTGCTCTTTTCTCTTTCTTTTCTGACGTGTATTCATATACTCATTCGAATATTCTTAACTGGAAACATAGACTTTTATTGTGAACAACGAATAATCTTTCGTTACGTTCTTTCGTAGTTTTTCATACCTCGATGCTTTAAACTATTGTTCATTTCAGATTTTCTCATCTATTTTTATTATTCGGAAAGTTAGTTGGCGAAACAGTCAAAGAAGAAATTTACCAACATCATCCTCACCATCAGTGCAATGGATATTCTTTTCTATCTCAAACTTGTTGATTTTGCTTTAAATGTTTTTTATACAACATTCTTTTTTGTCCTTTTTTTTTATTGGACTTCTGTGTGTTTTTAAAAAAGCCGGGGTAGGCGGCTATTTAGCGCTTATTCCAGTGTTGCGCAGTATGTGAAGAATGCCGTCTCGAAAATTGTTTTGGTAATCTACTTCATTTCGAATCACCGTCGGATAAAACTGGAACGTGCGTTTCATATAAGAACGTATCAGCATATATCCAACTGTCGATGTTGAAAGCGCCGTATTGTATGGAAAAAATGGAAACTGTTAGCGATAAGAAAGACTGTGAATGTTTGTTCGATGCCATTCGTATGATGCGTAATAGTATTAGCATTGGTCGTCAAACACTAAAAGCATTTAGTGACAAAACCGAAAAATTAACGTCCTTTACACCTGAAGATTTCTGGTCATGTGCTCCATTACTGTTAAGAAATTTTATTGGTTTACTTACATTAAATGATGCCGATTTTCGAAAGTTACAACGAAACTACAATTATTACGATTTATTTTCATCAGATTTATTCGAAAGATCCTCCAAGTGGCTAAAGATATGCTCAATAACATATGACATTTTAAATTGCAAAAATGATGCATTTTTATCACCGAAACATTATATGTTAGCCAATGAACTAATGCAACATGAACGATCGGCCGATCTTGTATCAATTTTCAATCGTTATGGACATACGTGTTCATATCAGACTATTAGAAAATTGCACGAACATGCGATGGATATATACGTTTTATCCAATTGTTTTGCCGTAAAATGTGCAGACAACTTCGATATTAACCGTGATACAGTTCATGGTACTAGTAGCTTTCATATCATGAATCAGATAATCATTCAAAATCCTCAAAATATCATACAAAGTAATATTTCGACTATTACAACGGACGATAATTCGAACGAATGTTGTATAATGGATGTAAGAGATACAAGTCAATCGTTTTTAAATGATAATAGAGTAAAAAAATCTTTTTACTTAATGTTTTATTCTTCTTCTTTTTCCGTTGCAGTATCTATGGCACGTGCAACAACCGAAAAGAGTAATCCTCACGTTGAATCAATAACTACTATGTCGATCCGGCATCATAATACATCTGGTAGTAACCTGTCACTGCATCCGTCAGAGTCAAACGTAAATACATTAGCGATAACAACAACATCAATTATTGGTAGTAGATTATATATTCCATTTGAAAACAATTTTCTCGATATACCATTATTAGCGTATGAGTTAATAAAATATTATTGTTCGTCCGTAAATCGTGATGTGGCATTATTAACTGGTTTCTTTAGCACTCATTATTACACTCAGTCAGGACCAGCTCATATTATCTTATTCTGTTCATCAATTAATGAAGACTCTAACAGTCAAACATGTGCTAAAATTTGCCTGCAAATGACAAAACGATCTATTCTCGATACCAATTTACAAACAGAAACTACTCGTTGGCGATGAAAAAGTTACACAAATTGTTGTAAAGTAATATTACGACTATACTGCTTATCTTGAGGCTGACAATACTCATAAGAAATCAAAAATCAGTGAGAATTCACATTACTCTCCTGTCTTACCTCTATACTATAAAAATATGCTAAAATAGTAAATCATTAGTTCAAAAAATCTGAATTTCTCACTTTATCACATAAAAGTTAAGAACATAAGATGAGCTCTGCCAAGTAAATCGAAGATATTTTTCCATTTTCTAGCTGCTGTATTCCATTGAAATTTTTTTACGTGACTTATTTAGGTCAAGAATATTACTGATGACAACAAACCATTTTCAAGTATTTTTTTGATACCTGGGGACTTTCATGTTATGAAGAACTATATGATCATGATCTGGTTGGTGTTGAATGGTACTGGAATAGACGAGTTATTAGGAGAAATATGTCATGGTGCAACTCTTCGTTCTATTCTTAATGTATCGACATCATTCGCAGTTCAGCGTACAAATCGTCCATTTTCTTCCATTTCAATCGATCAAACGATTGAAACAACGATTAATAAGTATGGGGATCGTGACCTTGACCTAAATAAGTCACGTAAAAAAATTTCAAT